GCGTCGAAGATGTAACAGCTGGGGTCCGTTGGGGGAAAAACTATTCAACAAGGAAATCGTGGCCCCAATTTTTTTTCTGTGCCCTTCAATTTTTCAGAAGGGAGGGGCACCATTGGCTACCTCGGCCAGCCCTCTCTGTATTTTTTTTTGTATCGTATTTACTGGGGTGTGCCGCATCACGTGCGCGCGCATGCTTGCGCTTGCGCTATGCGCTGCAACTGCGGAGCTCACGCGCACGCGATGCGCCGCAGGTATGGTGTTACATGCTGCGCCTGCAACAGGCTGCACGGGCCATTTCCAGGCCCCGTGACGTTTTCAGGCCAAAAGCCTGAAAACAAGGGCCTACAGGCCCTGTGTCGTTTCAGCCTGAAAGCCTGAAAACAAGGGCCTACAGGCCCTGTGTCGTTTCAGGCTAAATCAGGGCCTCTCCGGCCCTGAGTGTTGTCAGCCTGGAACTGAGGGCCATTTCCGGGCCCTCATAAGACCGACCTGCCCTGAAACGCAGGCACCAGACCAGGGTTTTAGCTCAGGCCATTTCTGGCCTATTTTCAGGACAACCTTTGTTTGAGCTTCAACCCCAGGGTCTGGCATGTTGAGGCATTTGCAAGAGCAGCCTCCTGGACGGGCCAGCACTATATAGGACTGGCCCGCCCTGCAGGCCGTTAGGTACTTCCCAGGCACTTCACGTGCAGTTCAGGAGGCAGGAGGTAGTCTTCAGGATTCGGCAGCAGCACTCTGGAGGAGCGCTGCAGGTGAAACGGTATTCACCAGTTCGCAGTAGCCGATGCAGACCCCAGGGCTCGATCCCTAGTCCCCACCTTACCTGTGTACAGTATCTGTGTCGACCCCTAGAGTTGAACCCGGGACATGTGTATTTGTAACAGTTGGTAGGCTGTCGTAGGGTCCATAGGTAGCAGGGGTTCGATCTGTAGACCTGTCGAGTAGTAGTCTCAGTCAGGTCTAGAAGTCGTATCTGTAGCTTTCTGGAAGGGTCAAGGTCGTAGCTGCTACAGTCGAGAGAGGTCAAGGTCGTAGCTGCTACAGTATCGAAAGGCCAAGTCTACGACCTTCCGGAAGGTCCGAGTAGTGGCCTTTCAAAGTTGCCCATGTT